GCAGGAGATAATGCTGCCTGCTTCTTGTTCACAATGTGACCTGAAAGTGAGAACAGGCGTTTGCATGGCGCTGTTGTAGCCGGCATCGCAAGATATTTACGTGCCAGATGCGCTAAAGATTCATATACCTCTTCATGCTTCAATCACCATTCCAGAGGACACGTGTCCATGCAGCTGACATGTTCTGCTCGATAATGGTCCAAAGCAGAGTGGACCAACACATGTTCATTTTCATTATCTGAGTCAGATGCCACCAGCAGAAGGTTGATTTTCTTTTTTGGTGGTTCAGCTTCTGTAGTTTCCTCATCAGAGTGTTGCTCTTTTAAGACTTCTGAAAGCATGCGCAACACCTCGTCCCTCTCAGATTTTGGAAGGCACTTCAGATTCTTAAACCTTGGGTCGAGTGCTGTAGCTATCCTTGGAAATCTCACACTGGTACCTTTTCTGTTTTTTGTGAAATCTGCACTGAAAGTGTTCTTGAAATGAACAACATGTGCTGAGTCATCGTCCGAGACTGCTCCGACATGAAATATATGGCAGAATGTAGATAAAACAGAACAGGGGACATACAATTCTCTCCCAAGGAGTTCAGTGACAAATTTAATTAACACGTTATTTTAACAAGTGTCATCAGCATGGAAGCAGGTCCTCTGGAATGGTGGCTGAAGCATGAAGGGCCATACAAATATTTAGCATATCTGGCAAGTAAATACCTTGCAATGCCAACTACAAAAGTGCCATGTGAACGCCTGTTCTCACTTTCTGGTGACATTGTAAACAAGAAGCGGGCAGCATTATCTCCCGTAAACATAAAGAAACTTGTTTGTCTGAGTGACTGGCTGAACAAGAAGTAGGACTGAGTGGACTTGTAGGCTCTGAAGTTTTACATTGTTTTGTTTTGAGTGCAGTTATGTAACAAAAAAAAATTCAACATTTGTGAGTTGCACTTTCACGATAAAGAGATCGCACTACAGTACTTGTATGAGGTGAATTGAAAAATACAATTTCTTTTGTTTATCATTTTTACAGTGCAAATATTTGTAATTAAAAATAATATACACTTTGATTTCAGTTATAACACAGAATACAATACACCGGACCCCCGCTAGAATGCAGGAATCGGGATCCATGCGCAGTATCGCATTGACATGGGGACCACATTATAGCGGGTACCGTGTTACCATGACTACCAGTGTAAATATTTACATTTGGGAGCCATGGCCGCGACCGCATTCTAAAAGAATTCGCTCTATATAGGTGCGCGTTCTAGTGAGGGACTGCTGCATATATGAAAATGTAGAAAAACGTCCAAAATATTTAATAAAGTTCAATTGGTATTCTATTGTTTAACAGGGCTGTTAAAACTGCGATGAATCACGATTATTTTTAAAAATTGTGATTAATTTTTTTGAGTTAATCACATGAGTTCACTGCAATTAATTGACAGCCCTAATCTAAAGGTTAATTTATAACAAGGAAGGAAGAAAGGTGAGAGATAAAATGGTTAAAGGAATCAATTACATACAATAATTTCAAAGTTCTTGGATAGCAGTGATGGAATAAACTACTGGCTTAATAAGTCTCTGGTTGCTTCAAAATCATTGGAAGGTCCTTGGTCTCTTGGTTAGATGCTCCCATTAGTGTAAGTTCATAGTCCAGAGGTTTGAGCAGGAAAGAGGCAAAATGGAGAATGTTTGCAGGGCCTTTTATAGCTTCTGCCAAGTGAAGGGAAACCCATTGTTTTAGTTTGTGGAAAAATACAGGTAACAAGATGGTGGTTGGAGTCACATGGGCAAGTCACATGTCCATTCATGACTCACTTAGTCACAGTAGAGGCCATGCCCATACATTTTCACAGGAAAGTCCATTAAGTGTTGTGATAAATGGCAGGGGGGGGGGAGAGAGGAAGCTCCCTTTTATGGACACCCAGCCAGCCAGTTAGCTATAAAATCCCTCTTAGTAGCTGTTCTCTACTTGTTTTACCTGTAAAGGGTTAAAAAGTCTCACTGCTCACTGCTTGCATAGGTAAAAGGAAGTGAGGGGACACCTGGCCAAAAGAGACAAGGGGAAGGCTGGAACTTTTTAAAATTGAGAAAAAACTCCCCCTTTGTCTGTCTGTTGTTGTTCTTTCAGCTGAGAGATAGAGCAGCAAGGTATGCTGTAAGCTCGGGCCAGGTATAAAAATCATCAGCATCATACCTAGAAACTACTCCTTTGAAACCCCAGATATGTAAGTAGATCAGGAATGTCTAGTTAGACGCGATCAGATTTAATTCTTCAGTTTGGGCTTGTGGATTCCTCTGTGCTAACCCCAGGTGCTGTTGGTTTGGTTTGTTTGCTTGTAACCTTTAAGCTGGACCCCAAGAAAGTCATTTTTGGTGTTTAATCTCTAACAGCCTGAGTTTTCAGATGTTTTCATTCTTTTTTCAATAAAATTTACCCTATTTAAGAACATGATTAGATTTCTGTGACTTAGGAGGTAAAGAAGCTGTGCATATATTAATCAGCTGATACAACAGCTTCCCTTCCCTTTTCTTTTGTTTTCTTTCTCGGCTGCCCCGAGGGAGGGGTGGAAAAGCCGAGGGGCCTTAGAAAAAATTGGATTGGCAAAAGGCAGTTTTCACTTGGGTAGTGGCAGCCTTACCAGCCTGGAACGGCCAGTATTAATTTTTGGAGTCCTTGTGGGCCCCACCTTCTGCACTTGACATGTCAGAGTGGGGAATCAGCCTTGACAAGTGTAGATAGTGTCTTCCATTGTGAGCTCCGTGTTCTTTGATGGGCCATTCATCTTGAATAGTTCCTTCACAATGTGCTGGCTAAACACCTTGTTGGTGTTTCCACAGGAGCAAACATTTGAAATACAGGTACATAGTTAAAACAACGAGGAGTCCTTGTGGCAGCTTAGAGACTCACACATTCCCCCCCCTCCCCGTATCAGGTCTGTGTATATGCCTCATTCTCCCCTATTTCCCCCTCCCCCCCCACACACACACACTATCCTCCTTTCTGTCTGGGAGATCAGTCATTGCGGATGTCACCGTGTTACGCACCCGGGGACGCTGGGCAGAGCGGAGATGGGGTGTCAGTGGGGCCATCGACCAGGGGTTTGATCTGAGACAATTGCAGAGGTGGCTGGGATGATCAGATGTCAGGGTGTGTGTGCGCGTGGGTGGGTGGGGGAGGGGATCCAATTTCTCTCAAAGACGGCAGGCTTCTGGCCCTGGGTGCCTAGAAAATGCCCAGAAATTCTGGAACCGATCGGCTGCCAGGTTCAGAGTTTGACGTGTGACAGACGGATGCCGTCGGGCAGGGTAGGGACCTTTAAACGCTCGGGCAATGCAGGGCAGCGGGCGCACCGTACGGTTTGACCGAGGTTTAACCCACCCGATAATCATGTCTCTCTCTTTCGGTTCTCAGTGCCCAAGGGGAGCACCACCTTGAACGGGCTGCAGTGCCCAACCTGCTTTGCTCTGAGCGCCGATCCCTGTGACAGCCACATCGCCCCTTGTACAGGGGACGAGACCTATTGCATCGATTTCGCTGGGACAGCACGGAGAGGTAAATTCCGCCAGCTGGCCGCAGTGCGGGAGCTGCCCCGGGGAATCTCATGGCTGATGAAACCTAGGGCCAGTCTACACTAGAAGTGCTACAGCAGAGCCATTGTAATGCATCTGGTGAAGACGCTCTGTGCTGACAGGCGAGAGCTCTGCTGTCGGCACAATAAAACCACCTCCGCGAGCGGCAGTGGGGATGTCAGCGGGAAGTGCGCACCAGCACTTAGAATGGCGTAACTTACATCGCTGAAGGAAGTGGCTTCTTCACACCCCTGAGCGACATACTGACCCAAGCTGTAGTGTAGACAGACCCCTAGAGGCTCCCAGACCCTCAGGCTGTGCTGAGCCCTTGGGCGGGTGGGAGCCGCCAAGAGGGATTTTGGCCGGAGGGAAGGAGCAAGGAATTTGGAAGTTTTTCCTTCCAGACCAGCTCCTCCCTCCCAGTGATGCCGCCATGCTCCTGGAGTTATGACAATGCGTCTCTTGCCATAGGAAGGGTTGTTATGTCAATGATGCAGAGCTTAGGAGAGAACCCAGGAGTCCTGGCTCCCAGTCCCGCTGCTCTAACCACTAGACTCCACTCCCTGTATAAAGAAGAA